TAACATCTGAAGGGCCGGTCTGGGGGAAGAAAGCAAATACTAAAGACGGTGTTTGCGCTTTGTGGTTTGAAGTCAGGTGAGAGGTAATTATGGCCTTTGAAGCCGATGACCCGAGGACCATCATTCGATGACTTGGGGATTAGCAGTTTGGAGGTGACCTATTCGAAAGAAAGCGGGTTACGTAAGGAGGGAAGACAGGGAAGGAAGGTGGGGAAAAGGCTGTGCCGGAAAACGTCGGGAGGATAATAAACAAATAGCACCTTAAAGTAACTGATGTGGCTTGTGTCTCTCAGCAGGAGGGTGAAAATGAAGGCAGGCTGTAGCATCGTGGAAAAGCCAGAAGGAGGTGGAGGTGAGCAGAAGTTAATCATCTCTGATGTACCTGGAACGTTCCTCCCGGGGTTCCTTTTCTCTCCACCGGGGCTCTCTCTGTTCACAGATGTCAGGCCGTGACCAGACAGCCTGACTGGGTGGATACCGCCGGCACAGTTGTGGGCTTGTTTCTCATGAAAGTATATGGAACGTGTCTGGTCACCACACCTTTATCCCGGGCTTGAGTCTCCTCCCTGTTGGAGACACAGCCTCCACCCTGGGGGAGGGGGCAGGGTAAGGGGTCTTTCAGCCCTGTTTTCCTAAAACGTTAGTTTGTCTTTCCCGTTTGTTTCTGTTGGAACTCTCATGCCCTCGTGGAAAGTAGGTGTGAGATTTAGTAGCACAGGAAAGGGCGACAGGTTGGGACACCTTGGTGCGCCGGTCCGGCTCTAGCAGGTCAGATGATTGCCCCAGGGAAGGTGACGCGCCTTTGCCCTCCCCTCCCCTGTTGTGTCAGCCCCAGCCGACCGAGGGGGTGTTTATGGCACGTTTGCACAGCACTCCCGAGATTCTGAGCGTCGGGGTGCGAGGTCGGGGATACTGATAGGTGTGTGCCCGACTCCTGACTACCTTGATCTTGCCCTTTCCGCGTTAAAGGGTATCAGTTTCCCGACTGGGCCTACAAAACCGAGTCGTCCCCAGGCTCCCGGCAGATCCAGCTGTGGCACTTCATCCTGGAGCTGCTGCAGAAGGAAGAGTTCCGCCACGTCATCGCCTGGCAGCAGGGGGAGTACGGCGAGTTTGTCATCAAGGACCCGGACGAGGTGGCCCGCCTCTGGGGCCGCAGGAAGTGCAAACCACAGATGAATTACGACAAGCTGAGCCGGGCCCTCAGGTGAGGGAAAGGATTCCCAGATCCACGGTTTTAAGAGATTGGAAGGAGACGAAGCAGTTGGGCGAAGGTTGGATAGAAAGGGTGTCAGGTGGTAAGAGACTGCTCTATCGAACTGAATAGCAACGTGTGGCTTTAAAGTGGCAGTGTAAGAGCTTCTGGATCTGAGTGGCACAGGCACAGGAGGGAAGGCATATCTTTGGTCATATGTAGGAGGGATGCCAGCGTGGTTGGCATCGGATCCTGACAGACAACCGAGTCCGCTCTGCAGTGGGCGAGGGCGTGTGGTGAAACATGGATTGGAGCTCACTTAGAATCCAAAGGATGAGTTTAGACTTCCCTGTTAGAGGTTGGTTAGACTTTCTCTCTTTAGGCTTTCCTAGAAGAAACAGAAAAGTGAGGCAAGCACACGGGAGGAGGGTTCGCTGGATGGCAGTGACCTCACCTTTCAGCAGCCGTATCTGGGAGCTCCGTTGTCGGTCCAGAGGTCGCTCCAGCAGGTCTAAAGATTGACCACTTCAAGGTTTCTTGGGTTCTTTTTTTCTCCCCTTGTCAGTTTTTACATTTCATAACCCGTTAGCCCTCAAGGGGCCAGAAGGTAGGTTATAACCCGTGATGCTGAATAGATGCGATGCCAGAGGCTCCGGGTCCGTTGAAGCCCCTGCCTCTCTTCCTTCTTAGCGACCTTGAGCGTCAAATCTGCGGCAGCTGTGCTGGAGCCGCTCTCATCCTCGTGAAAATGAGGCAGGCCAGGCCGACAGCTGTTTCCCAGATCAGGGTACGCGACTGTTTGACCTGCCACCATCAAACGGTTCTGCGTTTCTGGGTCTGCGCTTTGCGCTCAGGTCTCCAGACTAGCCTTATCAGGTCTCCCAAGAGACTAGTCTGCCCCCACCTGGGCAAGGCGGCGACGTACAGTGGGATAGGAAGGAAAGAGAGAATGGAACTGAAAGTGTAGAGCGACGGACGACAAAAAGGTGGCTGGGGCTGGGATAGGTGTTCAGGATCTGAGAGCGCGATTGTCTTTGTAAAGCCCTAGCCAGGCACTAGAACCTAGTTTGAAAATGGAATGGGAGGGGCGCCTGGGTGGCGCAGTCGGTTAAGCGTCCGACTTCAGCCAGGTCACGATCTCACGGTCCGTGAGTTCGAGCCCCACGTCAGGCTCTGGGCTGATGGCTCGGAGCCTGGAGCCTGTTTCCGATTCTGTGTCTCCCTCTCTCTCTGCCCCTCCCCCGTTCGTGCTCTGTCTCTGTCTGTCCCATAAATAAATAAAAA